AAAAGGACTGTGCTATAGACTCTCTAGGTAACCCCACAACAGTCACTTACCCTCTCTATGCCTCAGTTTCCCCATCTTTCAGTCAGGGGTCAGACAAGAGCTTTGATTCTGGCATCCTTTGATCTCAGAGGGGATGCAGGTGAAGCACGGTGAGCTTCAGAGCTAGAAGCACAGGGTGGAGGCTGAGCACTTGTCATTCCTAGGGGTTCTGGTGCGTAAGGCATTTTCTTGCAGGATCACGCCTCAGATGCCCACTATAACCTTTCCTGAGGAGTCGGCGCCCACAGATCAATAGTTTGATTGCATGAAAGATGGGGTTGGGGCGGGGATGATGCAGCCAAGGTGACAGTCATTTTTCACAGCCTGTCCCTCTGTCATGTCTCATGGCACCCATGTGAAATGCCACCTGTTAAGGATGAGAAATGAGAGTCCCCACCCCCAAGGAATAATTTCATGCCGATGCCTGACACCTGATGTTGAGAGCTTAAAGCTAATATTACATAATATATCAATGTAGAGCAAGACTTACATCGGTGAAGATGTGGAGTAGGCAGAGATTGATTTTAACTGAACAGTAATAACTACTGTTAAGTATTCCCATGTGAACACCTGCTATTAAGCTATCCTTTAATCTTCACAACAATCCCTTGAGGGTAGGTGTTATGTTGTACCAATTTTACAGATGAGGAAACTGAGGCTCAGTTTCATAGCTTTTAAGTGGCAAAGCCAGGATTTGAACCCAGGTCAGCTGAAGCTTACCTTTTGTTTTTTGTTTTTTGTTTTTTTAAAGATGACCAGTAAGGGGATCTTAACCCTTGACTTGGTGTTGTCAGCCCCACGCTCTCACAAGTGAGCTAACTGGACATCCCTATATAGGGATCCGAACCCGTGGCCTTGGTGTTACCAACACCACCCTCTCCCAAGTGAGCCACGGGCTGGCCCCTGAAGCTTACCTTTTTAAGCTCCAATTTTTATTTTTTCAGTAATTTGGACAGATATTTTTCTAAACTAGGACACACCTGACTGCTTATGGAAACAAGAAGTTGGAAAGTCACTTATTATTTGTTGAAGACTCTGGGTTATCAGTATCTGGATGTCAGTGCTGGCCTGGGGCTGATGTGGATGAATGGAGGGGTGGGTTAGGGGTTTGAGGCAGTGGCTGCTTTAGCCTTCAGAGTCTTTGACAGTTATGCCTCTTTTCTCTCTTTTCTGCTGTCGGCTGCCACGTCTTACAACTGACAATGTTTCTGCTCCAACTGCATCCCCCACCCCTGCTAATTAGCATGCGCTGTGAAACCCAAAAACCAAGTTCTTTAGACTTATGTGCAATGTTCAAATAAAGAGGCTCTGAAATCAGGCCCTTTCAGGAACATAGTGCATGGATTTTGTAACCCTTTATTATTGCTACTCTGGGCCTTTTAAAATTTCTTTTGGGGCCTCAGCTGAATTTTATATGGTTCTGCCAGTTTGGGGGAAATGATATCAACTTTGGCTTCAGACATATTGAAATTGAGGTGCCAGTGGGACAGTCCCATGGAGATGTCTAAAATCAGAGCTGTGCTGACCAGTACTGTAGCCACCAGCCATACGTGGTTACTGAGCACTTGAAATGTGGCTTGTCTGAATTGAAATGTTCAGATGTAAAATACACAGTAGATTTTGAAGACTTAGTATGACAAAAGAATGCCAGATATCTCATTAATAAATTTCTTGTATTGATTACATATTGAAATGATAATATTTTGATATATTGAGTCAAATAAAATATATTAAGATTACTTTTACCCCTTTTTTTAGGTGGCTATGAGGACGTTAGAAATGACAAGTATAACAATATGTGTGGCTTACATGTTGTTTCTATTGGACAGCCCTGGATTAGACACAACTGGCATTAGAGCCTACAAGGACATAACCGGGCATAAGATACATGTGGCAGAGAAGGGTTTGCTGACAGACACCTCCAGGCCCTCTGCTCCATCTTCCTGTGTTACTAGCCAGGCTGGCATTCTGAGGCTGCTCGGTGTCCTACCCAAGCCTTAGTGGGGATGGAACTGGATTTCATGGGCAATGGGGATCCAGGCAGCACTTTTGAAGCAGAGATGTCAGGATGGAGTTGTGTTCCTGAAAAGTTCACTCTGCTGCAGTGTGGAAGGGGGCTCAGAGGGCCCAGGAGGAGGGCGGGAGGCCAGGGAGGAGGTAAGGGCTGCCTTGTGGCAGGAGAGATGCTGAACTTGGAAGTTGGCAGCTACTCCCTCAACCCTTCCCCTTGTCCAGATTGTTCCCATCTTGCAAAACTTAGCTGAAGTTTCACCTTCTCCAAGAAGTCTTCCCTGGCCACAGTAGCCCATGCTTTACTACTTCTGGTTGCATGTGTGGTCTGCACCACATCTTCTATTCTGCCATTGTCAGCAGCTCCTCAACATCTGCAAGGAGAGAGGTCTTTTGCAATATCCATGTTGGCAAGTACCATATAATTTCTCCCATGAAATTTGCATGCCCCTGAGGGCCAGCCTGTGGCTCTCTCAGATCCCATATAGGGATGGCTAGTTCGCTCACTGGCTGAGCATGGTGCTGACAACACCAAGCCGAGGGTTAAGATCCACTTACCGGTCATCTTCTTTTTATAAAAAAAAAAAAAGAAGAAGAAGAAGAAATTTGCACACCAATGAAATTTGGGTGTAGGGCTGGCTGGACACAATCTTGAAGCATGTAGATTTCAGACATGACTCTCAGCAGACTCATACAGAATCATGCATCACTGTCATAAACCTCTGGTGTGTCATTCTTGAAGGGATGAGACTATGGCTAATCAATCAATATTCTAAAGGTTTACAGATCTGTCTGTCCTCCAATTGTTCTAACTCAACTGTGAGTACTCAGCAGAAGTATTCTTCTCTTCTTGGCCTAGAAGACCCTACCATCTACAGTGCTGTGTGTATACATAGTAGATATCCAGTGAATTAGCTGCAGAATGCATGTAAGCTCCACGAGGACAGCAGGGATGGGGACTACCAAGTTCAGTCTTTTCTCATGGTTACTTGGCACAAGTGTTTAGTAAATAGCTGTCGGATGGATGAATGCGATGATCTGGATGCTTATTTGAGGAGCACAAGATTTCGTTCAGTTGATTTTTGTTAGCTGGACTGTGTATGGAAGATAGGTCTGTTCACTTTGTTTACAGAATGAATCTTTAGTGGAAGGTCAAGGGGTCTTAAAAATTATAGTGAGAGGGATAAGCCTAAGAAAAAAACACAGTAGGCTGGATTCATGTGGGTTAGGGTTAGGGTTGGTCCCTCACAGATGGTATGTAGGAGACTCTGAGTGGAAATAAAGTTAATTGTATTTTTTTCCCTTCTTTTCTCTATTTTTGTTCTTTAGATTCACCGAAACCACCAGTTGCTCCCAAGCCAAAGACTGCCAGTCCACTCACGCCAGTGACCACACCCAAACTCCCTCCCTCCCCCAGGCCAGAGAGTCTTCACAGTCCACACTGCACGTCCAGGGGGCCGAAACCTCCTATCGCCCCTAAGCCCAGGCTGGCTGCCCCCAGCGAGTGGAGAGCCAGCGTGTCCGTGAACAGCTGGGGCAAATGCAGCAACGGGAAGCTGCTCTGTGCAGCCCAGGGGCTCCATGAAGGGCACCGCTCCCACCTGGAGTGCTCCGAGTCAGAGACAGACGAGGATGACATCGTGGCCCCAAGGGCTCCAGCGGGAGAGGACAAATCCAAGGACAGGGCCCGTGCGGAGAATGCAGTCCTGGCACCTCCAGATGGTGCTGGGGAAGGNGTTCACTTTGTTTACAGAATGAATCTTTAGTGGAAAGTCAAGGGGTCTTAAAAATTATAGTGAGAGGGATAAGCCTAAGAAAAAAACACAGTAGGCTGGATTCATGTGGGTTAGGGTTAGGGTTGGTCCCTCACAGATGGTATGTAGGAGACTCTGAGTGGAAATAAAGTTAATTGTATTTTTTTCCCTTCTTTTCTCTATTTTTGTTCTTTAGATTCACCGAAACCACCAGTTGCTCCCAAGCCAAAGACTGCCAGTCCACTCACGCCAGTGACCACACCCAAACTCCCTCCCTCCCCCAGGCCAGAGAGTCTTCACAGTCCACACTGCACGTCCAGGGGGCCAAAACCTCCTATCGCCCCTAAGCCCAGGCTGGCCGCCCCCAGCGAGTGGAGAGCCAGCGTGTCCGTGAACAGCTGGGGCAAATGCAGCAACGGGAAGCTGCTCTGTGCAGCCCAGGGGCTCCATGAAGGGCACCGCTCCCACCTGGAGTGCTCCGAGTCAGAGACAGACGAGGATGACATCGTGGCCCCAAGGGCTCCAGCGGGAGAGGACAAATCCAAGGACAGGGCCCGTGCGGAGAATGCAGTCCTGGCACCTCCAGATGGTGCTGGGGAAGGGGAATGTGGAGGTGGGAGCCAGGAGTGTGGTGCGGAGGGGGTGGGAGCTGGAGAGGACTCAGCTGCTCCAGGAGCCCCAGCTGAAGGGCTGCTGAGCAGAGAGGGTGAGGAAGGCGTAGACCACAGTCCTGAAAATGGGGAGGATGACTGTGACAATGACCCAGGGACAGAGGAGCAGGTGTCCACAGGTGAGGAGGAGGATCTGGTAAAGGAACACAATGTGTACAACCTGGAAGACAGAGGCCCTTGGGATGGAGAGGAGGTCTTTGGGAGTGATATTATCCTAGCTCATGTCGACTCAGAGGATCCACTGGCCCCTGGCGAGGAGTCCGGGCCCCCTGAGACTCCCGGGGAGGTGGAGGAAGATGGTGAGGAAGGCTGTGCCCATGCAGGACCAGGGGGGCCAGACGAGGGTGAGGATGGGCTCACTGAGGACACTGGGCAGGATGCAGAAGATGCCAGTGAGGAGCCCCCTGAGGATGAGTCAGCCATGGGTGTCCAGGAGGCAGGGACAGCCACAGATGACCCTGCAGTCTCTGAGGATGTTGCCTGTGAAGATTCTACAGGTGGCAAGGACCAGGTTGACCAGGATGAACTACCTGACCACAATGAGAAAACCAATCAAGAAGAAATGGCAGGAGCTACCCAGGAGGCAGAAGATGACCTGCCAGAGGGCCAGGACCCGGTGCAGGATGAACCCCCCGAGGAGAGCTGCCAGATCATTCCTTTCGAGAATGCCTGTATCGACGACTTCATGACTTCACTCACCGAGAATCCCTACGAGTTCTTCCCGACTGAGAGCACCTCCTTTTGTAGTGACAGCTACTCTCCTTTATCTGGGTCTGAGCAGGAAGGGAAGTCAGGGGTCTGTGTACAGGAGCACCCCATGGCTGGAAGTGTAGGTGGCCTGCGGGGTGGAGCCAGGGAGGGCTCCTCCGTCCCCGATGTGGTGGTCATGCCCGAGGATGCAGACACAGTGGATGACTCGCTGACCAACCCCTATGTGATTGGCCCAGGCACTTGCAGTGTGAGGGAAGATGCATCCTCCAACGGCAACGGTGGCCTGGTCCCCATTGACAGGAAGGGCATGGTCACACGGGCCCGGCCCCACTCTGCAAAAGTGGCTGGCTATGTCCCAGAAACTGTCTTGGAAGAAACTGGGCCAGAGGCCGGTCCACCAGCTGGTGTGGGAGGCACTGCCGAGCANCCCCATGGCTGGAAGTGTAGGTGGCCTGCGGGGTGGAGCCAGGGAGGGCCCCTCCGTCCCCGATGTGGTGGTCATGCCCGAGGATGCAGACACAGTGGATGACTCGCTGACCAACCCCTATGTGATTGGCCCAGGCACTTGCAGTGTGAGGGAAGATGCATCCTCCAACGGCAACGGTGGCCTGGTCCCCATTGACAGGAAGGGCATGGTCACACGGGCCCGGCCCCACTCTGCAAAAGTGGCTGGCTATGTCCCAGAAACTGTCTTGGAAGAAACTGGGCCAGAGGCCGGTCCACCAGCTGGTGTGGGAGGCACTGCCGAGCAGGCAGGAGAGACCGGGGCACCACTAGAGGGGGCGCCACTGGAGTCTGGCCGGGCCTTGCCCGTGAAGCCCAGGGCCTGCACTCTGTACCCACGGTCGTTCTCCGTGGAGGGCCGAGATGTGCCGGCGTCCATGTACCGGGAGCCAGAGGCATGTGGGTTAGATGACCGCAGGGTAAAAAGGAAGGAAGACAACCTTTCTCTGTCCTGTGTGATCGGCTCTTCCGGGAGTTTCTCCCAGAGAAGCCACCTGCCGTCCAGCGGGACCTCCACCCCGTCGTCCATGGTGGACATCCCACCCCCTTTCGACCTGGCCTGCATCACCAAAAAGCCCATCACGAAGAGCTCTCCCTCGCTTCTGATCGAGAGCGACACCCCGGACAAGCAGTCCAAGAAGAAGAAGTCGTCCTTCAAGCGGCTCCTGGCGCTGACCTTCAAGAAGAAGACAGAGAGCAAAGTGCACGTGGATGCGAGCATGTCCTCCTCCAGGTCCTCTTCGGAGTCCAGCTACCACGGGCCTTCCCGGATTCTGGAAATTGACCGCAGAAGTCTCAGTAACTCCCCCCAGCTGAAGACCCGCACTGGGAAGCTCCGGGCCACAGACTCTCCTTCCTCCCTCATCTTCTGCCGAGATGGCAAGAGGAAGGGTGTCCCCTTCAGCAGGACAGTGTCCAGAGTGGAGTCCTTCGAAGACCGCTCGCGGCCACCCTTTCTGCCCTTGCCGCTGACCAAGCCCCGGTCCATTTCATTTCCCAACGCCGACACGTCGGACTATGAGAACATCCCAGCCATGAACTCGGACTATGAGAACATCCAGATCCCGCCCCGGAGGCCTGCGAGGGCTGGCACGTTCACAAAACTGTTTGAAGATCAGAGCAGAGCCTTGTCCGCAGCAAACGAAAACGATGGCTATGTGGACATGAGCAGCTTCAATGCCTTCGAGAGCAAGCCACAGAACACAGACCAGGATGCAGAAAGGTACTGTGCAGCTCTGTTTCCTTTCTCGTTGGGCAAGAGGAGCTATCCAAGAGGCAGCTTAGGCGGAGGGGACAGAGGAGGCTTGCTTTTCTAGCCTCAGGCTCTATTTCTAGCTGTGTGACTTGGGGTGAGTGGCTTTACCTCTCTGAGCCTCAGTACTTCATCTGCGAAATAGGATTCATGCTACCTCACAGCAGAGTGAGAAGATCAGAGTAGATATCCTATGTGGGAGTGTTATATAAAATGCCAAATATGGTGCAGACGTGAGCGTTTTTATTTACATTATTTGAGGGACATTTCTAATATCTCCTAGGTAGGTGGCTTTGCTATTCCCCTCTGGGAAAGTCACAAAGAAAGAAGGTTCTGGAATCTTGCCAAACTAAATATCTTTCACCATCAGGAAAATACCCTAAATTGAGATTGATACCTTTTTATTGTGTAAATATGCACTCTATTCAACAGGTAACTACAAAAGACAATTTATTTAGATTAGGTAAGGAGTTGGTGGCGCCCTGAATTAAATTTCTGAATGGAAGTCTTTAAAGTACATCCAAGCCTGTTTATTTATTTATTTATTGGACTGATTCACTTTGGAAGGGAGCGTGAAACACTGGAGTTATTGAACAACAGTGGGGGGTTTCTGACCCCACCAAGACTGAATGCCCATTATTGATCATCCCAAGTGGACAATTGCCAAATCTTGCTATTCCTTGTACATTGTGGCAGCGCGATTTAACTTCAACCATTTACACTCTTTGGGGCACATGATCTGAATTAGTAAAAGCCAAAATGTTGTGATTTTAAAAGAAATCCTCTGATTCTTTTCTTTCATGTGCAGGGACTTAAACCAGTCCTACACAGCTATTGCTGCTAGGAATTCCTGAGGGACCCACAGTAATGAATTAGATAATGATGATTTGCAATTAGCACTACCTGTTGCTGGAGTATAGACGCTAGGAAGTTTTTGCATGCTTTATTCTCTTGAGTATTTTACATGGGTCCTCACACTGGCTCCGTCTTCTCCCTACCCCAAGCCTGGGTAAGGCTATTTATTAGATCTTTCTAGGGTGGAAAGATTTATTTGCCAGAGCAAAGGTAAACATCAACACTGTCTGAGGGGCTGAGTTTAATTTGGAGAATGTGGGCTTGTGTGAGCTGTAAGAGGGGCAGAGAGGCAGAGCTAACAAGTTCGTTGCATTAATAATTATCCCCCTCTATTATCCTTTCCCAACTCCTGCTGGCTGTTCTCTCTCAAGCCAGGTGAGTGAGCTCATTTTCTGTATGACAGCCCCTCAAAAATCGAATCTGCTTTAGCAGAATAAGATAATTTTATAGCTGGGGGGAACTTCAGACATCAGTTGGTCCTGTTACAGAGGAGGAAACTGAGGTACAGACAGGGAAAGGGACTTGCCTAAAGTCTCTCAGCAAGTTAGTGGAGAAATCAGTGTTAGGACTCAGCTTTTCTGACTCCTGGTTGTAGTGACTTATGCTAAGGCATGCCAGGTCTGGTTGTGTAGGCTGTTCACTGTGCAACCCCAAGGGCAACTCCTTCACCTTCTAATCTGTGTATGGTGCTCCTTGGGGTTGTCCATTGCACAAGCTGCTTGGTCATATGCAAAGACCCTGTTGCTTGATCTTTTTACTTTGTCCAAAAAACTCCAAAAGTATTTCCTTCGAACTAACATGAGACTAGGGGGGTAATCTGTGTATGGTGCTCCTTGGGGTTGTCCATTGCACAAGCTGCTTGGTCATATGCAAAGGCCCTGTTGCTTGATCTTTTTACTTTGTCCAAAAAACTCCAAAAGTATTTCCTTCGAACTAACATGAGACTAGGGGGGAAAAAATTCAAGAAAATGCCAGAGCTATGGCATCTAGACCATTTACTGTTTGCAGGCACTGTGTTAGGTGCCTTCCTCACATTTTGTCACATTTTGTGCTGTAGTCTAGGGCCTCGTTGAGTGTTCTGAACTGTCTAACTGTGAATTTCAAAAGCACGGTTGCGCCACTCTGATACTGTTTCGCTGAAGGCCAGACTGACTGGGATAAATCTCCCGTGCAGGGACCACATCCTCTTGGACATCAATCAGTGAGCAAAGCTTTCTTCCACTTTCCTGCATGAAACAGATGGAACCAAGGGGGTAGGAAAATCCCTGCTTTGGGCTGGAGCAGGTCTGGGCAAGGGAGGTCTGAGACCCGTCAAGTTGACAGACACAAATGTCTGCCGTGGGGCTGGGGGCCCCTGCCTCTTCACCTGAATGTGTGCTTTGAGTATCAAGTGGAGGGTGCCGCTCATCAGGGCGTGTGCACAGGGGTGATTGGGGTTGGATGGAACAAGAGGGTGGGGAGGCAGTTCCTACCGCCTTCCACTACTTGTCCTGCCCCACACCTTGCTTCAGCGTGAGGATCAGAGGCAGAAGCCAAAATAAATGTCGACAGCCCTGAAAGAAGGCAGGACAGTGCATCAGGAGACATGGAGTCAAAGCCCAAAGTCCCAGAACTTGCTGTGGGTCCCTGGAAAAGGCTGGGCCACAGTTGGCTCATCTGTAAAATGGTGAGGTTGGAGCAGTCCTGCATTTCTCAGCCATTCGCCTTTCCCGTACCACCTTGACCATTCTCTTATGCTGCCTATGCTATGATTTACCTATTGTTTTTTTGTTGTTGTTGTTCTTTGTTTTTAATAAGTCCGTCTTTTTTTACTTAAACAAATATAAAGGAAATTTTGTGTCACTATTGGGAAATGGAAAAACAGCATCAGTTACCATAAATAGAAGGCAATTGTAGAATTAAGATATAAACAAAAATACAACAAGGTGGGTAAAGTCTGCCTTGAGGTTATTACTTGCTAAGGCTGTGAGCTGGAGGCCTGGTCTCTTTGTTAAACGGGGAGAGGTGTTAAAGACATCCCGGCACCACATGGGGACTTTCTACTTGGCACAATCAGAAGGATTCAAAAGGATTGAGAAGAGAGTAACTCCCTCATGGTGTGATTCAATGTTATTTAAATCCAAGACCTTTTCCCACTAAAAGCACCTCCTTTCAAGAAATAGAGTATATAATAGCATTCAGAGAGCCCTTAGAGACCCCTAAGTTGGTTGAGCAATAGCTCAGGGTCTAATGGATGATTATAGAGTTTCTTCTGTGCACTTACTTGCTTTGAGATTGGTATACACAGATAGTAGCATTTTAGTAGCTACAATAATATTAACAATCTTCTATTTCATAAAATTGTATAAATTGTTACCTAAGTACATTTTCCCCATGATAAACGAAAGAGATTTTGTCATCCTTTAGTTTAAAATGTATCCCTAAAACATTCTTTTTTCCCTGAATTTGCCCTCATGCAAAAAAACCCAAAACAAAACAAAAAATGTTTTCAGCAGAAATCTAGTTCAATACCCTGACTTTCCAAATAGGATGCTTTATGTCCTAAGTCAGTCAGTAGTCTTGGTTAAGGGAACCCAGTCCTCACTTCTGAATATCCCACAGCAACCAAGTGTGTTGGTTACACACTTGAAGCTTAATAAACGTGTGTTGATGAATTGGTGATTTTGAGCTTACAAGAGGGAAGATGTATCGTTTATTAAGTACCTGTTTTTGGCAACACAGTGTTAGGTGCTTTGCATACACGTATTAAAAACCTACTTTGTGTTGATGAATTGGTGATTTTGAGCTTACAAGAGGGAAGATGTATCGTTTATTAAGTACCTATTTTTGGCAACACAGTGTTAGGTGCTTTGCATACACGTATTAAAAACCTACTTTAGGGCCGGCCCATGGCTCACTTGGGAGAGTGTGGTGCTGATAACATCAAGGCCATGGGTTCGGATCCCTATATAGGGGTGGCCAGTTAGCTCATTGGGTGAGAGTGGTGCTGACAACACCAACTCAAGGGTTAAGATCCACTCACTGGTCATCTTTAAAAAAAAAAAAGACTACTTTATGCAAAACACTATAGAAACTGGCTTGTCCTAAGTGTCTCCTTTCCATCTTCATCCTTGTAAATTTGGTTGTTGCATGATGATGAATCTGCTTTAGTCAGTCAGCATTATGCATCAGCACAAATCCCTAAGGCCACTTTGCCCCAACATTTTATTATGAAAATTTTCAAACTTACTGAAATGTTAAGTTTTACAGTGAATGTCCATGTGTCCACTACCTAGGTTACACCATTCACATGTTGCTGCTTTGACTTTTTTTCATCTTGCTCCATTCATATAGTTCTTGATGCATTTATGGTGGCTTTTTATGTTTACAGATGAGGACACTTTGGCTCGAGGAGGGCCTGTAAGCACTGTGGCTAAGCACGTAGGCTTCTGAGCCACGCTGCCTGAGTTTCAGTCTACACTCACAATAGATGGACTTGTACTCTTGGGTCCTGAGCATTTTCTCTCTTGCATTTCAGTGATTTCAGTCTAAGTCCTCTTCCTACCCCTGGACTGTATGTCCTCAGTGCCCACCACCTGGATCCATTATGCATTAATGGACGGAGAGAGGGATGAAAAAAAGCCAGTGCAGCAATGCGTGAGTGGTGTATTCTAGGTGGTGGACACGTGGACGTTCACATCATCTTCATTCAGAAGGCACCTCGACACCTTTGTTCTGGAAAACAGTTCACATTATCTGCAGACATGGAGCATATGTAGAGGTTATTGGGCTGTAAGGATTAAGGACTAAACACACTCACAATAGATGGACTTGTACTCTTGGGTCCTGAGCATTTTCTCTCTTGCATTTCAGTCTAAGTCCTCTTCCTACCCCTGGACTGTATGTCCTCAGTGCCCACCACCTGGATCCATTATGCATTAATGGATGGAGAGAGGGATGAAAAAAAGCCAGTGCAGCAATGCGTGAGTGGTGTATTCTAGGTGGTGGACACATGGATGTTCACATCATCTTCATTCAGAAGGCACCTCGACACCTTTGTTCTGGAAAACAGTTCACATTATCTGCAGACATGGAGAATATGTAGAGGTTATTGGGTTGTAAGGATGAAGGACTAA